CGAATAACCGAAACCGAAATAAAAAAAAATTCGGTTCGGTCGGTTTATTCGGTTCTGACCGAAATATGCCCACCCCTACCTGCAGGATCTAAGTGTTAGTCACCATATCAAATTGATATGTAAAGCTTCTAAAATTTTACATTACCTGCTCAATGAGGTCAGTCTGCTTCTTATGGGTTATTGCCAATTCAGCTCGGAGGTCCTTGATTCCTCTTCTTTCTGCACATAGAGGCGTTTGAGGGCGTCTCTCTCCTCCGCGAGCCTTTTGAGATCGGCCGCACACCGGTTCAGCTTGGCTTGGGATTCGGTAAACGATTCCCGATGAAGCATCACAGCCTATGGAGAAAGGAAAGACGTCAGATAGAAGGAAATAAAAGCAAACGTAATAGCGGGGGATGAATTTACCTGGTTCAGGAGTCGATGAGTCTCGTAAAAAATGATCGCCGCATCTAGGTCGGAAATGTCATCGACCCCCGTAAGGCAACCACATAATATGTCTTTCCCTTCGTGGGCCGTTCCCACGTCGGGGGTCTCCATAGACCGAGCCTCCCATAATTGCCCTTTAGAAAATGTGGGGCCAGGCGGAAAATCATCAATATTGATTGCCCCAAGCAAGTCACTTGGGGCACTCTCTCCCCTTTGAAGGGCCTCGGGATCGGACTCTTCCGGCACACTCGTCGGTTGTTCATCACGACAGGAGATATCTTCAGCCCCTGATGACTCGGGGACTTTGCTTGGACCACCTTCCGAGATCTCCTCGGTCCGAGGATGAGCTTCCTCGACCACCGGCTTAGTTGCTTTCAAAGCTTCGATGCTTCCCCTCTTTCGATCCACCAGCTCGCAACCAGCATCTTCCCCATCCTCTTCTTCATCTCGTAGTTTTTGGGCTACGACAGCAGATAGAGCAGCGGAGTCATTCATCGACTTGCGAGCCTTACTCTTCTTAGGCTTCGGGTATCACAAGGCGAGGCCCTTCTCCTCTTCTTGTCCTTAGCAGGTTTTGGGAGCCACCTCTTCCCCAGGCGAGGCCGCCCTCATTTCAGCAATATCCCCGAGGCCTGCATAAAAGGGAGTCAAGTATAAATAAAAAGAAACGTTTCAGAAAGGCATCGAAAGCGTACATGATAAGCTTACCATGATTCTTGGCCTAACATCTGCCCCTTGCCAAGTCATGCAGCAGTGCTCGGCATGGGAGAAAGTTGAGGCCAATTTTCGAACCCAGTTTTCGAGGTCGGGGACCGCGTGAGGCATCCAGGAAACCGCTGCATAACAGATGAAGACATTACATAAAGCAAAAATGGAGTATGAAGACTAATGGATAATACGTTACTTACGATCAGGGTTCACTTCTCGGGGAACGGCAATTTCTCCTATGGGATGAGGTCGCCGGTTCTTACCCGCACGAACCGGCTTATCCAACACCGGTCGTTGTCCTCATCGACGCTCATGAACAAGGCCTTCGTTGCTCGGCGTTGGAGCTTGATCAACCCTCGAAAAAGTCGAGGTTGATATAACCGCATGAGGTGGCTGAGAGTGAACTCCAACCCCTCGGCCTTGCTAAAAAAGAAGCGAAGCATGATCACTATACGCCAGAACGAGGGATGAACCTGGCTGAGGGTGACCTGGTACCTCTTGCAAAAGTTGACGACAACTGTCAAGAGGACCCATTGTGAAGGGGTAAGTGTAGACACTTAGAAACCCCTCCGCATGGGTGGTAATACTCTCTTCGGGAGCGGGGATTTGTACCACGACCTCGGCCAGTTACAGTCTCTCTTCACAGCCTCGAGATGGCCCGCCGTTATCGAGCAGATGTATCTCTACACGTGTTCATATCGGCCATGGACCGATGAAGGGTTCTCAACTTGGAAGTCGGATTTTAAGACACAAGGGCTGGGAACGTACTCGTGAGGGAGCGGTTCCACTGGCATTTTGTCACCTGTCGGCCGGGAAGAAGAGGAAGAAGCTTTCTCCTTTTGTCGGACGGTATTGGAGGTTTTCGCCATTAATTCAGGTAGAAGGAAGCGGAAAGAGGTGAAATTTTTTATTTTTGGTACTAACAAAGTTGACTCAACGGGTGGTGAAAGAGAAGAGATGGAGAGAGTAAGATACTTAGAAAACTTGGTGGAGGTGAAAGTAAAATTTTGATTCAACTAAAGAGCCTGTATTTATAGATTTATGGCGATGGTTCGGTGGTATTAGTGGCTGACCGTCCATTGGCAAGCATTAATGGTTTGGGGAACTGTACCGACGGGATGTTTCGGTCACCTCAATTGCTTACGTCATGTGGATGACATCATTATCGGGATCTCCAGAAAATCAAGGCTCAGGTCGTTTCTTATCATTTTATTCTAAGAAACGATGGGACTATCTGTACATGGTAGAAATCGGGGCTACCCGATTTCATTATTTGGTCGCAGTGAGGATGTAGCGTAAAGAAGCTAGGACGTCGAGCACAGAATCGAAGCCTTTTTTCGGACCGAGGTCGACGTCAATCACGGCTAGAAAGAGACAGACTCTGAGTGACACCGGTATAGCTTGATAACGGAAAAGGCGAGATATCCGCGATTGGTCGAGGATCGTGGCATGAATCTCGGAAAATCCACAACGGTTAATTAGATATTAATATGGTTTCCTACTATAATTAGAAGTGTACCTTATTTAGGACTCCTCTATTATATAAAAGGGGTCCCATCATTTGTAAGCTTCATCATTGTTCACTGATAAGAATATTACATTCATTACTTTCCTGCTATTTCACTTACTGTTCATCAGAGTTGCTTTATCATTTACTATTCATACTATCCCACCTCGAGACTATCCCAAGTCGAGGTCGAGACCTGGCTAGCATATTGATTTGATTTATTTTATTCTCTAATTTGTTCATTTATTTTCTTGCTTATCATTTGGTATTGGACGAAATCACATATCCTTAAAACCACAATATAAGTTTAATTGTTATCCGAATTTGAGGGTAAACAGTCTATTTAATACTCAATCTAGTCAGCAAAACTTGACAACAATTGCTGGTAGTGCAATGGAGAAGGAAGAGATTGGACTGCAGATTCGGAAAAATGAGAACGTACGAGAGTTTCTCGATGACTTTCTCTTTAGAATAACATGATAAGATGGAAGAAATTAGGAAATTTGGGGGAAAGACCAAGAAGCCCATGAAAGTCTTTATTTTAATGAGGTGGCAACGGTATTTTAGTAAAATCAAAAGTACGTACAAAAGTACCTTCATGTATGTAGTATGTTAGCAAGACTCTATATATATATATATATATATATATATATATATATATATATATATATATATATATATACGTAATCGTATGCGGCTTATGAGAAGCAATTGCAGTACTAAACTAAAGCAAATTAAAAGGGAATTAAGAATTATCATTGTTTCCGAAATACTCTTTGCCTTTGAAATAACAAATTCCAGCTCTGCCTTTCATTTTCTTGAATGCAGATTTGTAAAACTTAAGACCCTGTTAACTGCACCAGTCTAGCCAGTGTAGCCTTTTTCAGATCATGATTCATGAGGTATATATGTTGTGATCACCAACCTGAAACTATTTTCAATCCTTTATTCTTTTAGACAAGTGGAGAATGTTCAGAATTTATACACTTAATTAGAATATAATGTGGATGCCAGGAGCAGAATGAACGCATGTAACAAACACATGAAAAATTGAAAAGTGGTTAACTCATTCGGTGTCTCATTAAGCTAGCAATGCAACAGGCTTATCCTGCTCTTAGTATTACAAAAAACCGAAGAATTCTTACCATCAGTAGCTACCCATAAATTTCCGACCCCCACCCAAAAAAAGAAAGAAAAAGAAAATTACACTTCACCCACTAGATAAGAGTACGTATTTTAATTATGGGTTCAATGGGCAAGAGCGTAAAGAACTGGAAAGTTGAGTGTTCTTTTCAATTCCAACCTGGGCGTACATTTCTTATTTTGTCTGAATAAAATTAAAAATCGTACACGGATGGAGAACACAACCAGGGCGTTTGGTCTAGTGGTATGATTCTCGCTTTGGGTGCGAGAGGTCCCGAGTTCGATTCTCGGAACGCCCCACTTGCTGTATATGTTAGTTTTTTACCTCTTCTTTTTCTAACTAATTCTTTTCAAAATCTACTTTTCCTACTAAAGACTTTTGGAACTTTATTCTTTCATATGACATGACTCATGATATTAATGAGATTATAAAATCGTTAAGAAAAAAATGAAAACTTAATGTCAAATTAATTTAATATATAAAACAGCTTCTCTTCTTTTAAGAAAATAGTGTCACACAACAAACAGAGGAAGTAGCTAGTTTAATCTTCATAGAATCGCCTCTCTTTCGACCACTTAACAACTAATTTCGAAATAAGGTGTTCCTTCCGTGCCTCATTGACGTTCAACACTCGAATATGAAAGATATTCACGGAGTTGCTGGAGATATGGCATGAAAGTAGCAAGCATGTGTTTTCAGGTTTCACCACCTAAATGCTCCATAAAAGTAACACTCTTTTGATCGTCATAAATATAGAGTATAATAATCTTATAGGGCAATAGGAAAAGATCGTTATTAACCGTCATTGTTAAACTTAATTCATTTTCTGCACCATAAAAAAGTAGTACTCTATCTGTTTCAATTTAAATAAGATAGTTTGTCTCGACATGAAGTTTAAGAGAAAAGGAGACTTTTGAAACTTATAATCTTAAAAGCTTAAGGATTGACATTTGTGTGGTTATAAAAAACTTTTCATTAAGGGTAAAATGAGTAAATTAAAAAGTTTAAAGTTAAACTTTTTCAATTATAGAAATGTGACATTCTTTTTGGAAGGAACTAATAAGGAAAGTATGTTATCTAAATTGAAACGGAGAGAGTAGTACTTATTTGAATGGTACCAACTACCAAGATTCATCAACTAAAATGCTCTCTTATGTAAGAAACTTATTAGAACATCATAAACACTGGAGACGCATGCAATTCATTTCTTCCACTACTTAATTCTATATTTGTTAAATTTTACATCAATAAATAAATTTTAATGGCAAAAGATTCTTGTTGGGGTTACAAATTCACAGCATCAACGGTGACATTTTTAAGCACAAAACCGATCACAACTAAGGACATCAGTTGTGAATTCTATAGAATTTACATCACATTTGCTCAATCAAAAAATCTACACAAGACAAAATCTGTCGTAATACCAAGCAATTTAATCCAATCGCCTGAACTAATTCTCAAGGGCCTGCGGAATACTGTGGTGGGAAATAAACTTTTAATCATTCCAAAAGGGCAAAGAGGCAGCAAATGAAGCCAGCGAAAAACCAAGCAACCAGAAAGCTTACCCTGGCACTAACAGTACAGGCTAAATTTTGCATTTCTATAGCTTTCGTGTTGTCCGAAGGAAGCAATGTTCTTGTCGAGTAGAGTTGAACATCCAAACAGATAATCAATCTTCTTTCTAATTGCAAAGGAAGCTTCAGGCAGTCTGAATGTCTACACGCCATCAGAAATCCAAGCATCTTTTGTTCCTTCTTTCCATGTTCCCCATCTCAATCTTACCTTCGAACATTGGGCAGTGCACTTTGTTATGAAGTCGCTGGCATCATTAGAGCGAAGACCACGGGGAATAAACAATGCCATGTCACATAAGCTAGTGCAAATATTCACTATATGGGAAATGAATTTTAATGTCACATCAACATTAAGCATCATCAAATATGCAGTAATCTCTTTCAACCCCTTGGGATATGTCCTCACTTCTAATTCTAAATCACCAACAGAAAAGTTCCACTGAAACGCTGCCCAAACTTGAGGTGCTACAGTGATAGCTTTAACATTAGGAAATTCAACAAACAGCATTTCAAAGCAAAATGTTATCTGTCCTAATAGTTCTGTCCGATTTTTTGCACCCAACACTAAATTGTTAGCGGTTCTACCAAATTGAAATGAGCAAAGCAGGTTGCCAAGGTCGGGTGACTCAAGATGCAGGGTATCCAAGTTGTGAAACTCTTGCACTTTGAAGCTGCGTGCTCCCTGGAGAGTGAGGTGTAGATAAGACAGGAATGGGGTATCAATAACAAGCATCTTTGGCTTCACACAACGAAGATTGAGTTGGACAAGTTTGGGTGCAACTATAGTCACAGAACGTGGGCCATTTGGCTTCACACAAAGAAGATTGAGTTGGACAAGTTTGGGTGCAACTATAGTCACAGAACGTGGGCCATTTGATACTGTCCAATGACAATGTTTGAGGTGCTCGAGATGAATCTTAGGTTCTTTAAGTCCTTCGACCCCAATCAGATTCAGAACTTGCAAATATGGGAAGCACTGGTTCACCTTCTCTAGGTTTTCATCATCCAACGTAATAAATTCCAGAGTCAAAGTTGTAAGCTTGGGCATCAGAAGCAAACCATCCACTGACAGCCAAGAATTCTTAATCTCTAATTCAAGAAGATGATGGCCTGCATACACGAGAAAACACTTCAGTATTCCTGGCATTCACTCATATATGTCTACTTCTGATCAACAAAATATCACCAGATCGCTCAATGTAAATGACAAAGGCAAGAACGGTACTTCCAGAAACTGAGACAAAAAGAACAACACATCACTATCATGGGAGTAAACAATGAGTTCCCTTTAAGAAGGGTGGAACACCATATTATGGACATTCCCCATCGTTGGATGCAGAGGAATGCCATTTTTTATTCATTTAGTGGATATAAGGGCTAGGATTAGGCTATAACATGGAATGCACTGGATAGAAAAAATTTCAAAATTGTAATAAAGTTAAAATTCCCTTTTCTCTTCAAAGTTCCTTCATTCTTTTTCTTGGAAATTCATTCTCTTGCTTTCCTAGAGATTGAAGAAAAACCAAAGTGAAGACTGGTCCCTTTCTCCTGCCTATTATCAAACAGTGCCACATAAAATGGGATAGAGTAATATATTTAGAAACAATTTAACTTTAAACTTCTCATTTTACCCTTAATGAGATAATTTATAACCACAGAAAGATCAATGGCTTATTTTAGACGACAAGATTCAAAAATAGTCTTTTCTTTCTTAAGTTTCATACCTAATCAAACAATGCCACATAAATTAAAACACAGAATATTTTGTGGCCGGGGAGTTCAATTGTATACAGAGAACTCTTCGCTCTTCCAGAAACAACCATTCTAGACTAATATGTTAGCTGACAACAGGTTGCATCTATATTTACTCACACAGGAACAAACCAATTTTACTGGGAATTTCTTGGTCTTGGAAGAATTTAAGAATGCAACTAAATTAGAGTGAACATAAGTGCAGAGGCAACTGGAATATCATATTAAGAACTCCTTTATTCATTTTGCAGAATTAAAGTTATTTATAAACTCCCTCTATCTCAATTTATGTGACACTTTTGCTTTTCGAGATTCGAACTTCTTAATTTTTACCTAAGCTGCTCCGACACTCAGTTTAGGTGCCGCACCCGTGTCGGCACGACACTAGTATGGGTGTGGGTATGGGATCCGTACCGGATTTGGTCAAACACTTTTGGCTACTTTGACCACAACGGACGGAAAAATTCGATACAAGATACAATTTGATTCCCGAAATCAGAACCAAAACTAGGATAAATTTGAAGAAAATAACATACCTTATCTACGACATCAATCCTTACTTGTTTACAACTTGAGAATAAAAAAGAAATCCACATTTTACAAGCTATACGTAAGTATTCTACTAAATTTCTTACAAATTTAGAGATATTTTTTTTTTGAATTAATTTTAGCCGGAACCCCCACCTGTATCCATACTAGGATCCGTATCCCCGAATCTTAGAATTTACATATCGAAGGATCCAACCTCTAGATCTGCACCTGTGTCGGACACCCGCACCCGTGTCCGAGCAACTTAGATTTTGACTGTATACTTAGATATAGAATATTTAAGTTTTTCTAAATAAAATTTCATATTCGGGAACTATTGAGATGTTGTATTAATTATATGTAATCTTGGCTTAAATGTTAGTTTGAGTAGTCAGTTCATTGAGTTAGTGTTAGTTACATTAGCTAGTATTAGACATAGTAGAAGTCTCACGTGTGTCTCTCATGTGTGTTGTATATGTATTCATTTGACAGTTAATACATCTCAGTTAGTTCATTTCTCACATAAGAGATTCTCTCACTCTTCTCTCTCTTCGAGAACCTTCTAGGGTTCCACCATTGGAGCCCAAGCTCGAGTTCTGCTCATCCTTCACTTCTCCGTGTTTACATGGTATCAGAGCCCAGTAGTCACCTCACTATTGTCCTCGATTTCTCCCTCAATTGAGTTCTAAGCTGAAATCACGTCTCAAGTTTTGCCCCAATTTTCTCGATCTATCATTTTCTTCTCCTTTTCGTTTCATTTATCAACGAATTGACACTACTTGTCATGGCTATCCTTGATACAAACAACGAATCTGGAGTTGAATCGAGTAACTCAACTCCCGTCGCCGGCGTCGACTCCGGAATTAATTTGAGCTGCCCTGTCTACATGCACCTGTCGGGTAATCCTGGTGGATGCTAGTGACAGCTCCGTTCAACGGCATCGGATATAGATCCTAGAGGATAAGTATTCTTAGAGCTCTTTCAGTCAAAAATAAAATAGGTTTTATCACTGGAGAGTACAAACGCCCAGACCTAGATTCCCCACATTTTCGTCAGTGGGAGAGGTCTGATATATGGTAACCTCATGGATCCCGAATTCTCTGTGCAAAGACATTGCTGATAGTGTCGACTATGCTAGTAATGCTTTTGAGTTGTGGAGAGAGTTAGAAGATAGGTACGACCAAACCAACGGCACCAAATTGTATCAAATCCAAAAGGAGATGAACGATTTAACTCAATGAGTCCTTGATATTATTGGATACTACACAAAAATGAAAAAACTTTGGGAGAAATTGAACATGATAGCCAAGTCGCAGTGTAGTTGCCAATGCACCTGTGGGGCTAAGGAGAATATGCACAAAGCTGAGCAAGAAAAAAGACTTATCCAATTTCTCATGGGATTGAACGAGGTTTACACCACGGTACGCGGCAGTATACTCATGATGAATCCCTTACCTTCTATGGCACAGGCTTTTTCTTTGCTCATTCAGGAGGAAAAGCAAGGGGAAGTGAAACCACACAATCAGCTCGTGATGAAGTTTGTTTCTTTGAATGCTAATGTCCCTGCACACAATAGTTTAAACAGGGCACCTATGCACAACAACTTCAGAACCAATTACTCTCCAAATATCTTTTCCTCCACTAACAGACCTCGTCCTTTTTATGATCACTGCAAGCGTGTTGTACCAAAGACAAATGCTTCAAACTCCACGGTTATCCAGAGGACTTCAATCACAATCCTAAGTACAATAAAGGTAAAAGAACTGCGGCTAATGTACACAGTACTCCAATTGATGCATTCCTTGTGAAAGGTGAAGAAATACAACCCCAAGCAACTGCTCTAATGTAAGTCTCACTAGAGAACAATATGGGCAACTGGTGAGTTTACTCCAGCACTTTCGGGCTGGCTCTGCCGGAGATAACTCAGATAACAACATCACTGGTGGAGTTGCGAATTTTGCAGGTATTCTTGCTTGTTCTGTATCTATTCTCTCTGTTGATTTTGGATTACTGTCATGTAAATGCTTTAAGTCGAGGGCTGACATTTGGATTCTGGATTCCGGGGCTTCTAATCATATGACCTTCAACAAATCCTTGCTCACTCACATTAAAACCTTAGTGTATCATATGTTAATTACTTTACCAAACAGCTATAGAGTCAAAGTCACAGAAATTGGAACAGTTACACTTGCACCAAACATTACTCTGCATAGAGTTCTTTATGTTCCATCCTTCAAATACAATCTTATTTCAATACATTCTTTAGCTTCTCAATTTAAAGGTTTGGTTACCTTTTCTGACTTTCTATGTCTACTGCAGGCCCCTTCAATGAAGAGGCCTCTGGAGATTGGTAAGGTCAAGGATGGCTTATACCTCCTATGTTCAAGCTGTTTGAAGAATTCCTGCTCCACTTCACCTGCCTCCTTACCTTTTTCAGATTCTGCTTTGTCTAAAACCTCTGATGTAAATAGCTTGCACTGTCAACATTCTGATTCTAAAACCTCTGATGTAAATAGCTTGCACTATCAACATTCTGATTCACTAGTAAATGTTTCCACTTGCAATTCACAATCACTTGTAAATAACTCCATTGGTAATAAAACTCAGTGCTTTCCATCACATTCTCTCTTGTCTGATATGAATCAAGCTAACTTATTGTGGCATTACAGATTGGGACATATACCTTTTGTAAAGATGAGGGAAATATCCTCTATTCACTCTCCAATTCTCAACCAAACAACCTTTCCTCTACTCTATCTGTCCCAAGGCTAGGCCACCTAGACTTGCATTTCCCCACAGAACCAGCACCACCACCTCTGTCTTTGAACTACTTCATGTAAACCTCTGGGGACCTTACCATGTTGCCACCCATGACAACTATAAATATTTTCTCACCTTAGTGGATGACCATAGTAGGGCCACCTGGACCCACCTCTTAAGCAATAAAAGAAATACATTGCAAGCCATCAAATGGTTCATATTTTGGTTGAAACTCACTTCAAAACAAATGTAAAGTACCTCAGATCAGACAATAGTTCAGAATTTGTAAATATAGAAGCCTCATCCTTTTTTCAGTCAAAGGGATTATTCATCAAAGAACATGCCCCTACACTCCTCAACAAAATGGGGTAGTAGAAGAAAACATAGATACCTTTTGGAAACTGCTAGGGCACTCCTTTTTCAGTCCAAGCTACTCTTGTAGTATTGGGGTGAGTGTGTATTGGTTGCAACTCATATTATAAACAAACTCTCCACTACTTATGAGCAGATCTTCCCCTTTGCTATCTTACCTGATTCCTCCTCTCATTTTCCCTCAGTGCTTGAGTCTGTTCCTTTTACAGTGGATGTGCCACTTACTAAGGCACATTCTAATCCTCATGCACCTGAACCATCAACAGGTACTCATGATATCTCCACTATAGTCTCGCCTGTAGACAGTTCAGTAGTACACTCTCCCAGTCACTCTTCACAATTGCAGTCCCATGTTATTCCTTCACCACCTCCAACTCAGACCAATCAGGTACCTAGAAGGTCCACTAGAGAGCATCACTTACCTGTGCATTTGAAAGATTATGTTTGTTCCATGCCTAACTTACACCCTGATACACATTCTACATCTGAACATCATCATGTCTCCTTCAACTCTTTAGTTCCGAATAGTCAGCACCTTGCGCAAAGTATTTGTCATGATAGTGAGCCAAACTCCTATGAGGAAGCAGCTTTGGACCCTGCCTAGCAAGCAGCCATGACACTAGAGTTTGAAGCACTCCATGCCAATCACACTTGGGACTTAGTTCCTTTGCCTACAGGGAAGAAGCCAATAGGCTGTCGATGGGTGTATAAAATCAAACACAAAGCTGATGGTAGTATTGAGAGATTAAAGGCCAGGTTGGTGGTAAAAGGGTATACCCAGTATGCTGGTGTTGATTATACTAAGACTTTTTCACCAATTGTGAAAATTACCACTATGAGGGCACTTAAAGCATCTGCAGCAACTTGATGTAAATAATGCCTTCCTTCATGGGGATCTCCATGAGGAAGTGTACATGGATTTGTCTCCTGGCTTATTGGTTGATGCACCTGAACTGGTGTGCAAGCTGAATAAATCATTATATGGCTTGAAACAGGCCAATCGACAGTGGTATGCTAAACTAGCTGAGGCTCTATGCTCCAAAGGATATGTTCACTCCCTTAATGACTATTCCCTGTTTTACAAGAATACTGACTCTTCCATCATCTATGTTGCTGTTTATGTAGATAATGTAATCATTACTGGGAACAATTCAAAGGAGATCACATTGTTGAAAAACTTTCCGCATGCTCAATTTAGAATCAAGGACTTGGGAAGACTGCACTATTTCCTAGGTTTGGAGGTTCTCTACAGGGAGGATGGTGCCATAATCTCTCAAAGGAAGTTTGCACTTGATCTACCAAAGGAGTACGAGTGCCTCCATTGTAGTGCTTTCAGTTCACCATTGGATCATACTGTCAAACTCAAAGCCAAGTAAGGTGTGCCCCTAACAGATCCCTCTCTCTACAGGACCCTGATAGGCAAACTGAACTTCCTCACAAATACAAGACTGGATATTGCATACAGTGTGCAACACCTTAGTCAATTCATGCAAGATGCCGGGGAACCTCACTTGAAGGTTGCTTATCATTTGCTTAGATATTAGAAGACTTATCCTACCCTTGGTATCTTCATGTCTGCCAATTCTAATTGTATTTTTAGAGGGTATTGTGACTCTGACTGGACAGCTTGTCCAAACTCTAGAAAGTCTATTAGTGGATATTTGGTAATTCTTGGTGATAGTTCAATCAGCTGGAAGTCCAAGAAACAAGCCACCATATCCCTATCCTCTGCTGAAGCAAAGTATAGAGCCCTGAGAAACGTAGTCGGTGAACTTGCTTGATTGTGCAGATTATTTGATGAGCTGACACTTCCTTTTCCTAAGCATGTCCCAGTGTTTTGTGACAGCCAATCTGCCCTACACATAGCTAGAAATCTTGTTTTTTCACGGACGAACCAAACACATTGAAGTCGATTGTCACTTTGTAAGAGACAAACTGCAGGAAGGCCGGTGTCTCTTCATCATGTTGGGACTGATTGCCAGTTAGTTGATGTCTTAACCAGGGCCCTTATTGGAGTCAAGCATGCAGCAGTTATGAGCAAGTTGGCAGTGACAACCTCACTTCCAACTTGAGGGGGTATTGAAATATTGTATTAATTATATGTAAGCTTGGCTTAGCTGTTAGTTTGAGTAGTCAGTTCATTGAGTTAGTGTTAGTTACATTAGTTGAGTTAGTATTAGACATAGTAGAAGTCTCACGTGTCTCTCTCACGTGTGTTGTATATATGTATTCATTTGAAGTTAATACATCTCAGTTAGTTCATTTCTCACAAAATCAAAATCTTTCACTCTTCTCTCTCATCGAGAACCTTTTAGGGTTCCACCATTGGAGCCCAAGCTCGAGCTCTGCTCATCCTTCACTTCTCCGTGTTTACAGGAACTATATAAAGGGTACTACTATAAGTCAAAATAATTAATAGTTCAAAATATTTAAAGGCATATGAAAAAATTGCCTCTCGAAATCCCATCACCTGTCACATAAATGGGAACGGAGAGAGTATTATATATGTAAATGGTTATGTGTTCTTATGCAGATAAGTTTGTTGAGAGAGGAACTCACAATGGGAAGAGATAAGAGCAAGGATATTTGATGGTCGCCAACGAGATTGAACCCAAAAGTCCGATATGGAAAGAGCTCTCAACTTTTCGTTAACCTTAGGCAACCAGTGGGCAACAAAATTAACATCCGTCAAGTACAAATCATTCACATATCCTAACGGTGTCTTATCCAATGTTTCGAAAGGTTTCTCGACCCCAATGGAAATGGCCTCCACAATGCTCAATTCAGAAATCAGTTTATTGAAGATTCGCTTGAAGGGTGTAATGGAATCCCGTATGTCAGGAGATCGGGACTTGGTGTAACGATCGAAGGAGCAATTGAGATTGATGGATCGGACATCGCGAGAGAGTGTGTTGAGGGTTTTCGAGGCGACTCGGCAACGAGCTAGGTCTATTGAGTCAGCTAGTCGGCTGAGGATTTCAAGGATTAGCGGTGGAGGTAGGTTATCCATATCCATGGCAGAGGAGTGGTAATTACAACAAATGTCGCTGCTATGTCTATTATTCAGCCTCTCCGTGGCCAAAACCAAAAAAACGCTTAATTTTGATGTTAAAATAGTTTTTTAATTTTAAGGAGTTTGTGTTCGATAAATAGATTGGTTTTACCAATCTTTACAAAATAGTGCATTTGTAACTAAACTACAAACAGAGAAGGTATCAAAATTTCACTTGCATTGGCATAGAGTAAGAGTAAGGTCTGCATACACAGTATCATCTTAATTCACTTATTAAATACACTAGATATGATATTGTTGTTGTAATTAGAGTATGTTTAGTTGCTTGAATTGGAGAATTAATCTCCTAATTGAATTCAGCATAACTAAATACTACCTTGTTTGGTTGCTCAAATGAGAAGAATTAATCTCCTCATTACGATATTTTTTTTGGTAACATTATGAATTACCATTAATCAATCAAAATAGTTACAAACTAACGAGCACCTCCTCACAAGAACCTGCGAGAATGGCCTCAACATATCTGAACTACACAGCTATTGCCTGCAAAAAGCCTCTACATTTTCTTGCTTTCCTGGAGTTCCTACTTACTTCTAGCTTATCTATTACTTCTTTTTTAATCTGTACTACTATAGCTTCAACATTTACATTTGTTCCTCTAAAAAAATTTCAATTCCTAACTTTCCAAGTGTGGTAGATGACCGCTTCCAGCATAGCTGCAACTACCTCTTTTTTTAATTGCTTCCATTTCTCCTTCTTTATACTCCTTAAAATCAGGGCTACATCACTCCAGCCAGTTGAATACCAGCCCGTTGCATTATTGTTGATCTCACTTCCTTAGACCAACTGCATTCCATAAACAAGTGTTGGGCAGTCTCATTAACCTGATCATTGCACATGCAATTGGTGTCATTGACTGGGATGTGCAACTGTTGTAGTCTCTCCCTTGTTAGCAACCTGTTTTGATAGACCAGCCATGTGATAAATTTGTGTTTAGGCTGAGCAGTTGCATTCCAAATAAGGTCAGAAGTATCTAGTTTCCAATGACGGCTAGGTAACTCTTTGTAATTGAGTATTGTCCAGAGTGGCTATATGTACTGATCTTGCTAGAACCAGTTTTGCATTTCCTGCTTCAAGTGATTTAACTTTCTCCAATACCAGCTGCTGTCCTGAGGAGCTGTGTGATTCCAAAAGTTAGAATCTACTTTTATATATAATCCATGCACCCATTTGCCCATAAGCTGTCCTTTTTCACAATAAGCTGCCAAATCAACTTCCCAACTAGGACCTTATTCCACTCCTTACATTTTTTGATGTTCAAACCTCCACAGCTTTTTGGTAAGCAGACTTTATCCCAAGCTACTAGTGATATTTTTCTCTTCTCCTATGTACCTCCCCATAGGAAATCTTTGCAAATTCTGTCCACTTCTTTTACTACACTCTGTGGGAGAATGAAAACTGATCCCCAGAAGCTGTGAATAGAAAATATGACAGAGTTGATCACTTGAAGTCTGCCAGCATATGAAAGCTTCTTAGAGTAGCCAAATTTGACTCTGCTAGTAATCTTATCAATCAACTGATGGCATTCTAATTTACTCCACTTTTTAGGTGATAAAGGAAGTCCAAGGTATCTAACAGGAAATGATCCTTCACTCAAGCATGTAACATTCAATAGCTCTTGTTTTTCCTCCTCAGTTATGCCTGCTATGAACAAACTGGATTTGTCCATGTTAGCAACTAGTCCTGAGACCTGCTAAAGTGTGTTAAAGCCTCAACCACTCTTTTCACAGACCCACTACCCTTGCAGAATACCATAAATCATCAACAAATATCAAGTGTGTGAGTTTCAACTTCTTACACTTTCGATGCATTTTAAAGTCAGGCTGACTTCCCATTCTTTTAAACACCCTTGACAAGTACTCCATTATAAGAACAAATAATAGTGGTGACATAATCTTAGACCCCTTCTACCTTCAAAGTAGCCATGGCTCTCCCATTCACATTTACAGAGAACTTAGTGGTTGACACACAGTTCATTATCAACATGATGAATTGTGTTGGGAAGCCTAGTCCACGAAGTACCTCTGTCAGGAAATCCAAGCTGACCATGTCATTTGCTTTCCTCAAATCAATTTTCATCAAGGTGTAGTTTTCCTATTGTAGTGCCTTAGTAAATCATGACAAATTAGGACATTATATAGTTTTCCTCATTATGAATTGGTCTCCTCTAAATTAAGTAACTTATAGTACATTATTTGGTTGCAATTTTGCATCTTCTTATTAATAATACTTGCATAAGTTAGGTATGAATTCATGTTTTATTATATATATATCATTAATCACCGTATAATAATTCTTATATTATTAAATATAAATCACCATATAACAATCCCTGTGTAATTAATCACCACATAAACATTTCTTATGCTATTAATTACAACATAAACATTCTTGTGTTAATAATCTTTGCATAACTTATCTTCAAACCATGTGTTATTAATCACCACATAAACATTTCTTATGCTATTAATTACAACATAAACATTCTTGTGTTAATAATCTTTGCATAACTTATCTTCAAACCAAACGACGCCTTAGTTTATTTAAACAGAGAGATGATTTTAAATATTTATCACGAAAACTTTGGTTAAGGTTTTTATTAATTTTAATTAAAAATTAAAAATTAAGATTAACTAAGTATATATTAAAGTTTGTAATCAATGTAAATATCATTAAACCAAAGCAACAATATTGGATATCAGGTATAATTACTTACTTTTTAGAAGCAAAGGTATTATTTTACATCTCACACATTTTACCTCATTTTCTTCCTCAATCCATTTCCTTCCACAAAACATTATAAAGAATAACAAAGGTGGATGCATGAGGTCATATAACAAGAGTTTTTATTTATATCAAACTATAGGGACACAATGCATTCACATAGGCACAGCCAGATCTGTCAATTTATTCACAAGAAACCAAAGGATTGAAAGTACTTTCTACGTACTATACGATATTTGAGTAAGATATACGATCACAAGCGCCTGCAGATAGTAATTCCATCCCCTAAAGGTACTTGAGAAAGTCGAATGCGGGTATCAGCAGCCAAGAACTTGTTAAACTCAATGGTGTGATGTCTGACTGCCTTCAATGATTCTGAAACAGACTCCTCTGGCATTGCAACAGTTCCAGACCACAATGTGTTATCATATACTATTATACCTCCAACTTTCACAAGCTGCAGCAGTCTCTCGTGATACTTTTTATAATTAACTTTGTCCGCGTCAATGAATGCAAAGTCAAAACTTTCTTTGTTGTCATTCTGCAATTGATTCCATAAAACAAATTATAAGACACATGATTCTAACTGTCTTTTATTTCTTCATTATTCTGTTAAATTCACCCAAAGGGTTGGTGTGGAGTAAAGAACTGAGAGCAAGATATAACAGTAAGATACAGAGTTATTGTTTCTCACATCTTCCAACAGTTTGTCAAGGACTGGTAAAGCTGGAGATTGGATGAAATTGATTTTGTGTTCAACTCCAGCCTTTTTTATTACTGGCAATCCCATCTCATATGCATCCCGATCAAGGTCTATGGCCGTGATCTGCACCAACACATTTGTTTAGATGTTATTACATTCACTAGAGAAGACATTTTAGGGCGAAAACAAAGATTTACAGCTGATACTGGCCTTGCCATCATCAGGAATTGTAAGAGCTGTAAGTAGCAAGGAATATCCTGTGAACACTCCAATTTCAATTGTCTTTTTGGCATTTATTAGTTCCAATAGCATGGCTATCATTTGGCCAGCATCTGGTGCAGTCGCCATCAGACATCTGAGGTTGTAATAAATGCAAAATGGTACACTTTAGAAACCAGCTATATTACATAAACAAACAGATGCTTATGCCTTTCATGATTCAGATGTAACATCATGTTAAGAATGACATTGAAAATGGCCCCATAACAACAACAACAAAAAACCCAGTGAAATCCCACAAGTGCGGTCTGGGGAGGGTAGTGTGTACGCAAACCTTACCCCTACCTAACGAGGGTAGAGAGGCTACATTGAAAATGACCCCATATGTGACAATAATATGTGGGAATGTCCCTTCCTTCTTTAAAGAATTAGATGATCAAAAGAAGTTTGGCGATTTTTAAATATGATTAATCATCTCAAGTATGGGATAGGATGACGAGAGCATTAAAATACCGTGGATGATTGGCAGTAATATCTCTAATCTCTTTGAGAGGCTCTGGTTCACGTGGATACACATTAGTCTCCAGAATATACTTGCGCCATAAGAAAACAATAGATGATCAGTAATTTCAATAAAAGAAAGAAAAAGTGGGACAGCAAAATGCATATAAGAAAAGAGTACCTCATACAATTCTTGACTCTGCAACAGTCCCTTAGTAGACATCAACTTCGTCTTGTCTTCCATTTCTTCTACTTCTTGACAAAAAGAACACAAAGGGAAACAACAATAAAAAACTAGCAAAGCTCAGGTGAAAACTTAGGGCACTAAATGAACCTTAAGGTATTAACATTTAAAAGATGAACTTCGAGGTGAGTTTCTTGAGCATCTAAAGACTTATTGTGACAACATGATCTAAATTCAGGCATAAATGCCTGTTTAGCTACCATACTATTTTTTTTAACGTTATAAAAGCTTTCAAGAACAAAGGGTCCCGGGGAGGATTTTACTACATGATCCACATTGAATTCAACTTAGTTCATGTCTTACTGAGACTTGCAAGAGATAGGATATGGATTCAGCTCACTGAAGTAGGTAAGTAACCCTAATTTACACTACCACTCATTCATTTATTTAATTTGTAAATAACAGTGATGTCTCGCTTTCTGTTGGTAGTAGGTTTCTATGACTAACCGTTGTTTTCTTTCATTGTTGATCACCTTACTGTCTTGTTGTTTTTATTCTGCTTTTATATGGCTTTTTGGTACTGTCCCTTCTTGTCTATATTTTCATTAATGTGGTGCTTACAGCTTATGCTTTCCTGCGCCGAGGGTCTATTGGAAATAACAT